AGGGTAAGGGGAGGGGACAGTGCATCGTGGCCATACACGTGGTAATATCGTGGGAAAGTGAAGCGTTGGAGCAGAAATGAAACGATAGGTCACGAGTGGGGTTTTGAAAAGGCGGCTTTGGCGGTTGATTTGAAAGGTTTTGAAACGGGCGAAAATTAAATGTGGATCCATGGAATAGGGGTAAACCGTGGGTGTTGGGTATAATGCGTTTCACCTACCTTTTGACAAAAACTCGAAATATCAAAGTGTTAATTCCTTCACTGCGTACGACATACCTGTGTAGTATTCTCTTAACTTCCTTGCGCCTGCGTCAGAAGTGATTTGTAAGCAAACCCTAGAGATGGCACAGGAAGAAGTAGTCAATGTGAGAGTGGACCCGCTGGGGGATGATGATGGGGAGGAGTTAGCAGTGCAATACAGGACGGAGGCACGGATGGTGGGGGCGGGGGTGGTTGAGCCGGTGGGAGAATCGTAGGCGTCGGCCCTGATATTGGCCCCAAAGCCACTAAGCCAGGTGGAACCAGAGCAGTGGCACACTAAGAGCGGACAAATCCACACTCACGGTGGCGGATTTGGAGGTGATTAGGGAGCGGTACCAGATTCCGGCGGAGGTAGAGTTACTGCTGCCAACATCAGGGGAAAGGCCGTCTACTGCGAGGCCAGGGGAGTTTTCCCTGTACGAGGAGGCGCTAAAAGGGGGGCTGAGGTTGCCACTGCCTCAAGTGGTGGTTGACGTGCTGAATCTCCTGGAGGTAGCGCCGGGGCAATTGATGCCCAATGCCTGGAAGATTCTGCTGGCCTGTGCGAGTGCGTGGCCTAAGGCGAATGGGGGGGAGGCCATGACGGTAGACGAGTTCTTTTCGTGCTACAAGGCGTCGGGTCAGCAAGAAACTTGGGTCACCTTACAGGCGGTGATGGGGAGGGGATTGGTGGCGGGGTTGCCCACGTCGATCAAGGGGTGGCGACCACGGTGGTTCTACGTGACTGTTAATGGGGGGATGGGGGTGCGCACCATCTGGAAGGTGCCAACCAGGTCGATGGAGTCGAGACTAGGGGCGATGGCGGAAGAGAGGGTGAAGCGGGTGAAGGAGTGGAGAGAGAGAGAGAAGGCCAGATGGGATGAGCTTGTCCAACCGTCTGCACTGTTTGAGGCGGGGCTGGGACCGCAGCCGAAAGGCGGAGACCTCGGCCGGGCGGAATTGGAGGCGAGGAGAAAAGCTCAGGAGATAAAGGATCGGGCCATTCTGGCCAAGGCCGCGAAGTTCACGGAGGCGCAGAGGGACCGTCCGCGTCAACCGATCGCGCGGGAGAGAATCCGACCGCGCCCAAGGCCGTTGGGTGAAAAAGACTTAAGCAGTTTTGAGCCGCGGCCGCCGCCTGTAGACCCTGTAAAGGAAAAGGCTAGAAAGGTGGTGGAGGCTCTAAAAAAGAAGAAGAAGAAGAGGAGTGCCCCAGAGGAAGCAGCAGATGCGTCTGGGGCCAAGAGGGCTAAGGTGGCCCCAACTGAGGTGGACGTCCCCGTGGCCAAGGACACCCCAGAGGTGGTGGAGATCATCCCAACGGTGGAGGTTGTGGAGATTGCTCCATCAGTGCAAGTAGAGGCTGGGTCGACTGAGGCAGTGCCGAGCGGAATGGAACAGGTCCAGAAGAGGCCTGACCCCCAGGAAGGAGGGGTTCGTCTGGCTACGGCGATCTATCATGCGCGCGCGGTAGCTGGAAGGTTGGAGGGAGAAGAAGACCCAGCCAGGGCGGGGGCAGACCGCCTGGTGAAGATTGTGGAAGAGATGGCTCTGCGCGCGATATCAGGGTATAACGAGGCCGACCTGCTGAGGGGGTTATGCTCCGCCCAAATGGAGGTAACTACCTTGGCAGGGGCCCTCCTTAGGAAGGCGGGGGCTGCCAAGTTGAAGGCTGAGGAGGCCAGGGTCCAGTTGGCCAAATTGAGGAAGGACAGTGCCGACTGGAAGACTGCCTATGCCGATCTGCCAGCAGTCAAGTTGGAGCTCGAGGACACACGCCGTAAGGTCGTGTCGCTCGAGTTCCAACTGGCTGGTGAACAGAAAAAGTTAGAAGAGTCTGAGAGGGCCTGCGCCGTGGCAGTCGAGCGGCATGAAGAGGCCATGACCAGCAATGAAGAGCTGGTCAGGAAAAAGGATGAAGCGGATTCCAGAATTGGAGATTTGTTGAAGGAGTTGGGGGAGGAGCGCGCCAGAGCAGAGGAGGAGAAGGGGAGGCTTCTGAGGGCGTGGGAGATGGAGAAGGCGAAGGCGGTGGCGGAGCTGGAGAGTCTGAAGAAGGGGGTGGAGGAGGAGAGGGCCACGGCGGCGGCTGAAAGGGGGGCCCTACAAAGAGAGCTGGGCGAGGAGAGGGCGAAGGCGGCGTCTGAAAAGGCGGCCTACCCTGATCTGTGCGTCGCAGCAGTGGAGCAATATAAGGGGTCCTCCGAATTTCAGATGGTGGTGGACGCCGCTGTCGCCAGGAGTCTAGCTGGTCAAGAGTTGGGGGGGTGGGCCCATCAAGGAAGACTGTTGGAGGTAGGACAGAGACAGAGGTGATTGAAAGCTTCCAGCAGTCAGATTTCTATAAGCACGAAATGGCCGAGTTCTGGGACAGCGGTTGGAAAATGTTCAAGCGCAGAGCTGAAGAGCTGTTCCCACACTTGGACCTTAGTAGTGTGATGATAGGGGAAGATGACGTGGCCTAGACCCCCCTGGACGAAGGTATTGAAGAAGAGGATCTGGAATCTAGCGAGGAGGAATAGCCAAGGGGAAGGAAAGCTGGGCGTGCTCTATGTTTTTTTTTTTTTTTTTTGAACTTGTGAACACATTGTAAAGGGGTGAATGAATGAATGAACGTATGAAGAATTTACTTGTAATGAATTTGTGTACAAAGATTATTTGGCTTATGTTTCCAGTTGAATTTTTATTTATTTTGCTTATGTTGCCAGAATGAATGAAGTGTTATGATAAAAAACTGGTCGTAAAGATTGGGTCAATAAAAATATCGTGTAAAATGAAAGTTAAAAGTTCCTCCCTGCGGAGTGCGATTGGAGTTGTATGAAAATTGAAAGGATAATTCAAAAATTGGAGTAAGAGGCAGGTTGCAAATTGTAACTAAATAGTTAGCGAATAATCTGATTAGTGGATGAAATACGTAAGAGTACGTGAGGAATTTAGCTAGGAAAAAACGTGGTCCTGGAACTGTGAAGAAACTTTATAATGTGACTAAGTGTTGAAAATGTGGTTCTGCTAGGCTTTGAAGTGCTCGGTCTGGCCGAGGCTTTCGAAGTGCTCGGTCTGGCCGAGGTCTGGCTGAGGCTTTTGAAGTGCTCGGTCTGGCTGAGGCTTTTGAAGTGCTCGGTCTGGCTGAGGCTTTTGAAGTGCTCGGTCTGGCTGAGGCTTTTGAAGTGCTCGGTCTGGCTGAGGCTTTTGAAGTGCTCGGTCTGGCTGAGGCTTTTGAAGTGCTCGGTCTGGCTGAGGCTTTTGAAGTGCTCGGTCTGGCTGAGGCTTTTGAAGTGCTCGGTCTGGCTGAGGCTTTTGAAGTGCTCGGTCTGGTCGAGGCTTTTGAAGTGCTCGGTCTGGCCGAGGCTTTCGAAGTGCTCAGTATGGCTGAGGCTTTTGAAGTGCTCGGTCTGGTCGAGGCTTTTGAAGTGCTCGGTCTGGCCGAGGCTTTCGAAGTGCTCGGTCTGGCCGAGGCTTTGGAATGCTGCAAGTGAAAAAGTTATGGGAGCAGCATAGAGACAGTTGAATTATGAAAGTCTAAGTCACCAGTCGGGGTTTGCATTATGTATAAAAGGGGAATACAATATGGACAATACAGAAGTACGAATTTATTGATAGTAACGCTTCAAATGTTCCGCATTCCAGGGATGAGGCAGGTCTCGGCCTTCTATGTCTTGAAGTCGGTAAGTGCCTGGTCGTGGTCGGGCTTTCACAACGTAGGGCCCCTCCCATTTGGCTGCTAGTTTGCCCTCGGTTGGATTCTTTGTGGCGGGAGTCACTTCTCGTAAGACAAGGTCCCCTACGGAGAACTCTCGTGGTCGGACTCGGCGGTTGTAGTGTGTTCTCATTTTCTGCTGGTACGAAGCCAATCTGACAGCAGCGGTCTCTCTGAGCTCTTCGACGAGGTCCAAGTCTGTTCGATGGAGTTCTTCGGCTGCGGCCAGATCCGGATGTAAGATCCTGGGAGTGGGCAAACCGACTTTTACCGGGATAACCGCCTCAGCGTCGTATGTTAAGCGAAAAGGAGTTTCACCAGTGGGAGTGCGAGCAGTGGTTCGGTAAGCCCAGAGTACATTTGGTAGTTCCTCAGCCCAAAGGCCTTTAGCAGCTTCAAGCTTGGTTTTGATGATTTTCAGAAGGGAACGGTTGGTGACCTCAACTTGGCCGTTTGCTTGGGGGTGACCGGGGGAGGAGAAGCACGGTTGGATCTGGAGATCTGCACAAAATTTTCTGTAATTCGCGTTATCGAATTGTTTGCCATTGTCAGAGATGATGGCTTGAGGGATGCCAAATCGGCAAATGATCGATTGCCAGATAAACCTGGTGGTGTTCCGCTCGGTGATTGTGGCAAGGGGTTCAGCCTCGACCCACTTGGTGAAGTAATCAATGGCAACAATCGCGAACTTGGTCTGACCTCGACTGGTGGGAAGTGGACCAACCAGGTCGATCCCCCACTTGGCAAACGGATAAGGGCTGCAGAGTGTGATTAACTCTGTAGGAGGAGCATGAGGGATGTTGGCGAAGCGTTGACATTTATCGCATTTGAGCACGAAGTCGGTTGCATCCTGATTAAGGGTTGGCCAAAAGTACCCAGTACGGAGTATCTTCTGGGCAAGGGACCTGCCACCTGAGTGATTACCACAAATTCCCTCGTGGATCTCCTGCATTACATAAGTTACTTGCGCTGGATTGAGGCACCGTAGATATGGCCGGGAGAAACCGCGCTTGTACAATATACCATCGACAATGACGTAATTGGATGCTCGGGATCGGACTTTGGCAGCCTGCTGCTGGTCATCTGGGAGTGCTCCTGTGGTCAGGAATAGGAGAATGTCGGATGTCCAAGGGATGGGTTCGCTCTGGATGTATTGTACAGCTTGCAGATCGGGTGAAATGGCTAGGTGGTGTAGATATTCGACACGGACATCATGGCTGAGAGTAGGATGGTCAGCAGAGGCCAACTGAGCCATCTCATCTGCTTTGCAATTTTCTGCCCGAGGAATTTGCCTGATGTGGAAGGTATTGAAGAGGCGAGTAAGGGGGAGTGCCAGGTCCCTGTAAGGTCGCATCGTGTCTTCCTTGGCATCAAAGTCTCCCGTCATCTGGCCGACGACGAGTTGGGAGTCGCTGAATACTCGGAGGTGGCTGACCCCTATGTCCCTGGCAAGGTGGAGTCCTGCTATTAATGCCTCGTACTCGGCTTCATTGTTGCTTGCTTCAAACAAGAAACGGAGGGCACATTTGAAGTAGCCGCCCTCAGTAGAGGTGAGGATGAGGCCGGCACTACTTCCTTCTCTTCGGGACGAACCGTCGACGTTAAGGGTCCAAGAATGAGGATCTTCTGGCTCTGTTGGAGCGGGTAAGGGCGGAGGTGTAGTGGTTGGGGTTGGCCTGGTGAACTCCATGATGAAGTCAGCTACAGCCTGCCCCTTGATTGCTGTCCGAGGGCGGTAAGAGATGTCAAACTGGCTGAGTTCTACGGACCACTGCATCAGTCTACCCGAGAGTTCTGGTTGCTGCATGACTTTCTTCAGGGGCTGGTCGGTGAGGACCACTATGAAGTGGGCTTGGAAGTATGGGCGGAGTCGTCTAGAGGCAATGACCAAGGCCAGGGACAGTTTTTCCAGCATGGGGTAGCTCTGCTCCGCGCCCCTGAAAGCTCGGCTAATGTAATAGACCAGTCGTTGGATTGAGCCATCTTCTCGGAGGAGAGCTGCACTGACTGCGGTTCCTGATACTGCTAGGTAGAGAAAGAGGGGTTCGCCTGTGATTGCTTGGGAGAGAAGGGGGGGTTGGCCATGCATTGCTTTAACTGTTGAAAGGCCTCCTCGGATTCAGCTGTCCATTCAAAAGTCTGCCAAAGAACTTTGAAGAAGGGCAAGCACTTATCTGTCGCACGGGAGATGAAGCGGTTGAGGGCCGCCATTCGGCCGGTGAGTCTCTGAACCTCTTTAACCGTCCTAGCCGACTGCATCTCAACTAAAGCCTTGATCTTCTCAGGGTTAGCTTCGATGCCGCGCTGACTGACCATAAAGCCCAAAAATTTGCCAGACCCTACGCCAAAGGCGCACTTTTCTGGGTTGAGCTTCATCTGGTACTTGCGCAAGGTGGCAAAGGTCTCACGTAAATCAGTAAGGTGATCGGAGGAGTATTTGCTTTTGACTAGCATATCGTCGACGTAGACTTCCATATTCCGACCTATTTGGTGATGGAAGACGGCGTTGACCAGCCGCTGATAAGTGGCCCCGGCATTCTTCAATCCGAACGGCATTACACAGTAGTGGTAGGTACCTCGGTCGGTAATAAAGGATGTGTGCTCCTGGTCAGATGTGTGCATTAGGATTTGGTTGTACCCTGAGAAGGCATCCATGAAGCTGAGCATTTGATGACCGGCCGTGGCGTCGACCAGCAGATCTATGCGGGGAATGGGGTAGCTGTCTTTGGGACAAGCTCGGTTCAGGTCAGAGTAGTCGACACAGAGCCGCCATTTGCCATTGTGTTTGCGGACGAGGACCACATTGGACAACCACCTAGGATAGTCCACATTTTTGATGAATTGGGCCTCGAGGAGTTTGTCAACTTCGGCGGCTATAAGAGTGTTGCGCTCCGGACGGAAAATGCGTTGCTTTTGGCGGTGGGGTCGAAAGTGGGGTTCGATGCAGAGGCGATGGGAGGGGTCGATGCCTGGCATGTCAGAATGGGTCCAGGCGAATACATCTCTGTGCTCGGTTAAGAGAGCAGTAAGGTCGGCCTTGGCTTGGGCGGGTAATTGACTGCCGATCTTGGCGGTTCTGATTGGGTTGGTGGGATCAATGTTAACTTCAATAAGTTCCTCTACAGGTTCACCTCTGACCAGCTCGTCCTCATCTCGGACGTCGTTTGTACAATATATCGTCGACAATGACGTAATTGGACGCTCGGGATCGGACTTTGGTAGCCTGCTGCTGGTCATCTGGGAGGGCTCCTGTGGTCAAGAATAGGAGGATGTCGGATGCCCAAGGGATGGGTCCATTTTGGATGTATTGTACGACTTGCAGAGCTGGTGAGATGGCTGGGTGGTGTAGATATTCGACGCGGACATCATGGCTGAGAGTAGGGTGGTCAGCAGAGGCCAACTGAGCCATCTCATCTGCTTTAAAGAGAGATGATTTGTTGAAGGAGTTGGGGGAGGAGCGCGCCAGAGCAGAGGAGGAGAAGGGGAGCTTCTGAGGGGTGGGAGATGGAGAAGGCGAAGGCGGTGGCGGAGCTGGAGAGTCTGAAGAAGGGGGTGGAGGAGGAGAGGGCACGGCGGCGGCTGAAAGGGGGGCCCTCAAAGAGAGCTGGGCGAGGAGAGG